AGAGCGGGAAAGGCAGTTCTTGTTCTGACGAAAATAATCCCTCTGGAGCTAACAAGAACGCGACGAATAAGGCTCTGGCCGATTGACGGTGTAAACCTGCCCCGGTCAAAGCGAAGTGAGTCTTCCTGCACATGAGTCATGCATTTACTGTATGCAATAAATGTCGTGCCATTTGATTTAATCACAGTTGAACTCGGAAGGTCCCAGGAAAAAATTAAACTTGAGGAGTTTTTGAGTTAGGGAAACCAGTTTTTTTTTATACTTGGGGGAAAAATTGAGAAAAGTAATACAGGTGGACTCTCCACCATTAAAAAATCTTTGTAGACAAGAATTCCTGTAACCTGGAGAGAGAACCCAATGGGGCCGAAAATAAATTCGTTATACAGTGAAATACGTTGTAGACCACTTTGTTGCAGAGATGATCTTTTGGGCCTTGAATTGCTGGATAAATGATTCGACTGTTGGACGCCAAGGTTAAATTTGCCCAGTAACTCACTTCCTTTTAAAAAGCATCAAGTTGCAGTTTTATTTGTTTTGTTTTTTTCCTGGAACCCTTAATTGATAACCGAAAGGCATTTAAAATTTTGAGTTATAGAGGTTCAAGGAAGGCGGGAGTTTTCAAGTGAGAAAGTTCTTTATTAATTAAAGTTCTTTCCTAATTTGTTCATTGTGCCCTTGTGACGTTTTAAATCAGAATTTAATTTCCAAGGGTTAAAAAAATTAAATCAGTCTATAATAATTTTTGCTCTGTAAAGCTGTGAGATACCGTTGAGTTGAAAACTACTGAGTACAGGATATTTATGTTTGTGCCTGGACAAATACTGTAAATAGAAATATTGAAGGAAATCTACTCCCTATCTTTAGGATGATTGCATTTGTTTTTACGTAATTCTCCTAAAACTTTCTTTCCTAATTTTTTTTCATCAGTTTTAAAAAATCTGGGAACATGCTCAAACTTGAAAGACATCGTGTTTCAATTTGTGCTTAGTATAATTGCCCTGTCCGGTGTTGTTGTTGTGCTGTGTTCATGAGAATGGATCATTTTTTTTATTAATGATAATTTTCATATTCTGTAATGTATTTTTCGTGAATAACTAGTAGTATTTTCTTTTTTATGGGTCAGCGTGTGTCTTATGGGGGATGTGGGAAAATGTTGAGAAATTCTTCTCAATACTGACAAAAGCAGTAAATGAAGATTGACATCACTAACACACTAACTCCAAAAAAAGTGATGAGCCATTTATCTAACATTTTTTGCAACCGCATGTACTCCTGCTTGTCCTGCAATTCCCCCTCAAATTTCTTGGGATAACATCACCTCATTTTGGGACATACGTTTTTTTTTTGTGCGCAATCAAATAAATAAATAATTATTTACTCTTTTTCCAGGGTAGGAAATGGCGGATTGCGAGGCAGGTCCGAGAGCCCGAGTCCTCTGGGATCCCGGTTCCAACAGAACCACCAGCAGTACCAACCATGCTGGGGTCGCAGTCAACCACCGACAGCACCACTCCAGTATTCGCCACGTGGACACCATCACTCATCGTCCACCACTTCGCTCCTGACCGCGGCAGGGAAGCCGCCTTTGAATCCCCGTGCGTTCAGTCCGTTAATCCCGCGGCGCCCCAGACCGCAAATTGTGGCGCCTATTCCCCGCGTGCTCGTCATCCCGCGTGTCGAGTCCTTCCGGTCGAGAAGTCTCGACACGGGGCTCGACAACAATGACGACGACGACGACGCTGTCACAGTTGTTCTTGATGACGAAGAACGTGAAGAAGAAGACGAAGAAGAGGAGAAAATGACGCGATTGAGGTCGAAAAGTCTTGACACTGGCCTCGACGATGATAACCAAGATAAATTACCGACAGTCGACACCGAAGAAGAAGAAGAAGNTTTTTTTTTTGTACCATTCGAGCAAATGTTGTCTTCTGTTTGTGATAGGGAAGATGGGAGGAAGCTTTTTATAAAAAGTTTTTTCTGGCTTGTTTTCCAGTGGAAATGAGCCGATTGTTTTATGGTGCTTGAAAGCTTGAAGCAGGAGTGTTTTTTTTTTCTTTTTTCTTTTTTTTTTGTGCTGACCACCGAATTGGTTTTTGTTTTCTCTTCTGGTTATTTTTTATTTTTTCCCGGGAATCTCACTAAATATTCGTCGACTGTAGCGCCCTCAATTTTTGTTCCAGTTCAGATGGCCATTGAAGTTCCATGTTGACCCCGAAATCCTGTGTGTTTCTTGATGGGCTGACAGTGTTGCCTCCGGTTACAAACTTGACTTTCTGATGCAGAGGTTGTGGTTCAGTCAGTTGTTCACGATGACACGTACATGCGTATCACAGACCATAAACTCTAAATTTGAAAATAAATAATGTTTATGGATTAGGAACTGAACTAAGCTCACTTTTTAATCATTCTATCATCAGACACAAATTGAAGAATACTAAAATTTTGCAGTGTTCTTTCTACAGATAAAATTACTGCCAAGAAATCTGGGAAGGGATAAATCTATTGAACTTCAGTGAAAAAACAACAAATATAATACAAGTACAGTAATAGGTCTTTGCATAATGAATTGCGTGTGTAACAACAAATCTGCATTTATGGAATTCCTTCAAGAGGAAGAAAGACTTACACAATGTTGATGAATTAATCAACCCAACATAAAGAATTGAACCATAGCGCAGTGGAAGAAATGGTGGAAAATAATAAGGCAGGGCAATTTGCCAGTTTGGGGCCCTGGAATATGTAATCAAGGGGGTATTTTAATTACATATCCCTACCTTTGTCTGGTTTAATCGCAGTCCACAATAAATCACAATCAAACACAGTAAAAAATGATGCATCACAATAAATGCAATAATGCAACACACATTCAATGAAGACAATAAATTTGTGCACACAAATTTAGGGTGCAATAATGCAATGCAACAATTCAATCAGAAGAATTGGGGTTGAAATATTTGGAGGATGTTTACTGTTGAAGCTAATTTTAAGGACTGATTATTTGGAGTGGAAGAGTGCTGGGTTTTTATAGGATTTAGCACAATGCTTCTGTCAGCTGACCTGACCAAAGCATTGGATTTTTCCCTTGCCTGTGATTGGTGGACAAAATGTGCATGTGCATTTGGGGAATGGATGCCTGAAGGAAAATTCTGGTTCCCCAACAGGTAAGAAAGTTTTCCTGCATGACAGAATTTTCATTGTAATACACTGGAAAATGTATACTTGTATAGAAAGTACAGTACTGTATTGTGTTTCTATTAGATAGCAAAAATAGCAGATGCAATAACAATACTTGCACAGCAATGGGTTAGTTCTGTTGTATACGTTGGAACCTACTGGGCGTGGTGCATTAAGATTTAGAAGTTATAGGCCATGGCATTAAAAAAAAATTCTGCCATTTCATTCAACACTTTTCTGTTGCATAAAATTATAAGCATTTATGCTAAACTTTGTTCATAGATTAAATTTTCCTTCTTTGAGTTCTCTAGTCTAGTCTAATGTTGCTTTCATCACAAAGGAGCGAAACTAAGATTATTGTTTGCAGGTGAGAGAGATTTTCTGTGGATTTGTAGAAAAGTCCTCAACTGCGCATAATGATCTGCAATCATAGAAGACATGTGTGGCACATGATATATACATAGTGTGGATATACACCATGGAAAAGATTTCCCTGGTGTAATTCCTCATTT